TGTGTGTGTGTGTGTGTGTGTGTGTGTGTGTGTGTGTGTGTTTGTCCTGGTTTGTGCTCAAAATATGACCAAAGAAGCAGTGCTCTTTTCATCAAATAACAACAATGGTGGTTATGATTATGGGCACTCCTGACTGAGCATAGGCAGCTATGGAAATTCCTCATTTAAGTTCTCACATATGACAGACTGGCCTTCAAGGATAGAGAAGAAAGAGAAAAGAACAACTGAAAGATTTTATGATGTTTTCCTTTTAACAAACACAAGAACATACAGTTCATGAACTGAGTTGTTAGATTTGTAGTGGACTTAATATTAAAGTCATAAATATCTTCTAATATCATTTCCTTTCCCATTCTGATTGATTGTTATCATTTATCACCTTCTGTCTCTTTCATAAGATGCTTACTCTAAAACGGTTTAAGAGAATTACAGGGCTAATGTGGTATCTAATTAAAATTCACAGTATTTAACTTGAATCCTAAAATGTGAATGAATAGGCAGGGATTTATCGCTGTGGCTCCACTGCCTGCATCTCAAGCATGAGGACTCGAGTTTGATACCTGGTGCCAAGCAAACAAACAAACAAACAAAATGTGAATGAAAGCAAATAAGATTTGCTGACGTAGATTTCAGATTTCTTTAGAAGAGTCCATCCCATATTACTTATGAAATGGAACTTGTATTCTGCAACCAGAGAATGTCAGGGTGATGAAATATGTTTTCAAATCATAGGAATAAACCTGAAATAAAAAATTTTAGCCCACACATTATTAATGCTGTACCATGCATTAATTAAATATATATATATATATCCATAAAAATATTGATTTGATGAGAGACACAAATACCCATCTATAATATCTTTTAATTTAAAAATAGTCTCTTTAGCTCAGTGGTGTCACTGCCTGCCTTGCAGGTCCAAGGTCCTGAGTTTGATCGCTGGTAGCAAATAAATAAATAAATAAAGTAAAAATAGTTTCTCTAGGATGAGATTTTATAAACTTTTAAAGTTCTTATTTTTCTTTGTAAGTTGTTCATTACCCCTTTGTTAGGTAGCCTACAGTGTCTTAAGGATTTTCTGTTTTCCAAATCATGTGAACTCCCAACAATTACATCTTCCGTTTTTATGCATACTATCAATTTTGTTGTTTCATTGCACTAAGACCTAAGGAAATATCAAAGAAAAAGGGAGACATGGAATATTTTACCCTTTTGTGACCTTAGAGAGATATATTTCAGTAATGCATCATTAACAATGATGTTTAAGTTTTTTCATTGTGTATAAATTTTACAATATGAAGGGTAATGATTTCTATTTCTACTCATTTTTGTATGAGGATTAATTGATTTTATTATATCTACCAAAATTATTTCTTGCAACATTTAATATCCTGAAGTAACATTAATGATTCTATATGTTAATGACACCAATTAATTTTCTAATGCTAAACAATCCTTGTATTCCTAGATTGAGTACCATTTAGATCAAACTGTCCTATATTTTAGAAACTCTAGGAACATTTACACAGGTCCCTTGTTTTTCACTGTTTTCAAAGTATAAGAAATCTGTGCTTTAGGTTGCAGAATTTAATAATGATGTATTTTGGTATAGCTTTCTTAGTAATATTATATGTAGTTTCCTGAGCTTTTTGAATCAGGTATTTTTTGAGGGGTTGTATCATCTCTAATGTTCAGTTTGGGTGAATTCTAATGTTTTGCTTCATCTTTAGTAATTCTGTCCTTTCTCTTCTCTATTATTGAGCTAATACAGAAATTTTATTCATGTCATTATATTTTTAAGTTCTATAGTTTCCATTTTGATCTTTGTTACAATTTGCTGCTCCTTACTATATTTTTGTAAACTTTCATTTGTCTCAGTAGAACTTCCAGTTCATTGTTGAAACAGTTTTTATTGTGGTTAGTTTAAAATCCTTGTAAGAAAATTCCAAAATGTGATTTTTTTCTATTTGAGTCGATTATCTCTTCTCTTTCAAATTTTGATATTCTTTTTAAAAATGTTTATTTTTTGTTTAAATATTTTAATATAACACAAGCAGATATTAGTAAAGAAAATATAAAAGCTATTCTATGAAATAATAATTTTTCATAATAAAAGTTATTAGCAAATTACAGTGGTCAGTTCACTGTGCATTATCTAAAAACAATATATTTACATTTAGTAATCTCTCAGCTCATTCCCTAATAATACTATATCTTTTATTCTCAGAATATTTTATGTATTTGCAAAGTATGTCACATTCTGTATAATTTTGAACAATTTCTTACTATTTCACTGTATTGTTTTTTGTATTTATTTTCACTTTCAATTTCTCACATCAGAGAGATAAAGCGATATTTTCATGTTTGTTCAACTTATTTCACTTAAAAATATATTCTCAAGATGTATCCATTTTCCTGATACACATGTAATTGTTATGACATCCTTGCAATTTGTTTATTATGTCATTAAGGTCCTATGTTAGTGTCCTACATAAGGTTTTCTTTTTAAGTAGGAATTTACAATGTATAATACATTGGCCAGTTCCTTTTACAGTATATATTCTAAAGCCTGTTTGGTGCCATTCTACACTAGTGGGCTTATTCCGTGCCACTGGGAATTTCACTGTTCTCTCTTGGTAATAATAAGATATGGAGAGAGTTTCCAAAATTAGACCCTGGTATGACTAATTAGGTAAAGACAAACTTTGTATAATGCTTATGGAGCATATTTCCAAATCAATTTGTTGATGTCCAGATCATTTTCCAGATCAAAGTGCCTATGTAGGAAGTTGGATTGTGAGGACACTGGAAAGTGGTTACCCTCTTTCATACTTTCCATATGGAGGTAGGACAAAGTAACACTCCGGGACACTTAAAAGGAAAAACTTTGCCAGTGTTTCTGGTCACAGAACTATTCTGGGTAAAGAAGAAGATTTTCAGTCTAAGTGGGATTTTCTGAGTAGGAAGTGCATTTTCTATATATTTAAAAACAAATTGTATTTCCATGTTTGTAAATTGCTTTTTAACAAGTTATTTTTAATTCTCTCTTTGGTTTACATGATTATTTAAGATTCTGAGCACATTTATATATCTTTTTCTAGTATATTGTCACAAATAACTTGTCAGCTTCTTGTTTTTTTTTAATATTTTTTAAAATTTAAAATTTTACACTGTGATAAGGAGAGATAGAAAAGAGAGCTGGGAAAGGGGAAGTAAAAATGCATGAAGATGTGATATGTATATTATCAATTTACCACAATGAATGTATTTATTATACATTGCAAACATGGTAATAATAACAAATAAAATGTATAAATTTAATTAATTTCTTTTATTTTACTTATACTTCCATTTCTTTGATTTTTGAAATATTTGGCATTATTTTAACTGCTAGAACTAGACTTTTTCTATAATTTAAGAAAGTATTGACAGTTATTAATACATTACAATGCCATTCCAGGTATTTAGGGAAAAGATATTTCTTACTGATGTGCAGGTCAATAATGCCTATTTACTTTTACAAAGGATTTGAGTAAATTGGTGAAATTTTATTTAATTAGAATTAGCACTTTACTTCATTATTTTCAAGGTCACTTTTCTCATACTAGGAAAGTGTAGTCCATTTTATATACATCATAGATGCCATAGATTAATTTAATTGATTAAATTCATAAATACAGAAGCTGAAGATTGCATTAATCTTATCGTGATTCCAGGAGCTCTCACATTGCCTAATGAAGATCATCAACTATGAAAATTTTAATAAATGTGAGAGGGAGGTGCACTTTGTGTATGAACACAGGCCACGGAGGGGCTGATGAGGGTGTGCACCAACTGTGATATCACTGATGTTGAATAATTTACTTCTTTAAATTTCATAAGCTGTTTTTCTTCCCACAAAGAAAATAAGACATGGAAAAGACAACTAATAATTTCAAAATTTTACAATCAATATGAAAATTATAAATGCAATGATGATTTTTTTTATTATTTCTAATTACAGGTGCAGGTTCTTCGGAATGCTGGAGAAGAAGTGACCTTAACAGTGTCATTTCTAAAAAGAGCACCTGCTTTCCTAAAACTCCCACTGAATGACGACTGTTCATGTAAGCACTACAAAGTCCCATCATCACACTGATGTAAACCAATTGTTTTCTGATGGTAACTCATTATTTCCTTTGAAAGTAAGAATTCCTGCCCAAATATAAACATTTTTATACCCCAAAGTGTTTGCCTGACACTGTGGAAAGAAACCAGATGGTATTTTTAAAAAAATATAATAATAACCATGTCACAGTATTTTTCCAATGCATAATTGATTATTTGACTTAAAAAATGTATATCATAGTAAACATCATGTTGATCCAGAGACCCATTATACCATTGGTTAAGTGAGTGCAGATCTCAGGGAGCAGCTGTGTGGACCAGAGTGGCACGGACGCAGGCAGATCCCAGCAAGGACCCTGCCCCAATATCAGAGGCTCAGGCACACCCACACAAGCCACAGGCCTGCCTAGAAAATAGCTGCATAGGCTCACCAGCAACAGCCAGAGGCCCACCATCACATCAGCCACAGTCAAAGGCCCATCTGGCAAATAAATACCCAGACACACAAGCAACAGCCAGGGGCTTGCCCTGATACCATTGATAAGTGCCTAGAGACCCTAGCTAGAAGCCTATGCAGACAACAGGAACTGGGTACACAGTCCCCAACCAAAGACCTCCCAGACAATAGCTACACAGGGGTCCAGCAAGAGGCACACCTAGATACCACCCCAAGTATATACAGGCCCCAGCCAGACTTGTGCCCAGACAACAGGACTCAGGGATCCAGAAGGTCAGCATTCTAAACCTCTATTGGTGAGCAGCAGAATAAAAGTTGCTCAGTGGCTTGCTAAGAAGTGAAGACCACTCACTGAGCAAAAAGTCACCTCAACAAAGGTACAGCAGGCTGCAACTGTTGAAGTGAGAAGACATTTGAATAATCTCAAAATCAGACTTCCAGATCACTTAAGGCAACCCCAAAGGGCAATAAGATGTAACAAGCTGATACTCAATAACGTGGACTTCCTGATCTAGCAATAAAAAAGAACCTAGAAAAAAATGAAATCAGAAATAATTTCTCAGATAAAAGCAGACATTGTGCCCATGGCAGGACATGATAAATAAATCTATAGAAGACACAGATTAAAAAAAAATAGAGGAGCTGAGAAAACCAGAGGAGATGGAAACCCAGCATAAGAAACAAATGGAAAGAATTTCAGATATAGAAGATAGGATTGCAATTAGTGAACAGGAAAAGAAAAAAAAAAAAAAAAAAAAAAAAACTCCACTGAAAGTTTATGCAGCAGAACAAGCCAATGAAAGGACAGAATTTCAGATATAGAAGATAGGATTGCAATTAGTGAACAGGAAAAGAAAAATTTCTTAAAAATAGCACAGGATCATGAGAAATCAGTCCAACAGCTGCTAGTTAATGCAAAGAAGAATAACATAAAAATGATCAGAATCAATGAAAAAACAGGAGAGAGGGCAGACAACATAAAAACTGCTCACAGAAGTAATAGCAGAAAACTTCTCAAACACTGGAAAAAAATCTGACATACAGATAACTGAGGCTTATAGGACTGCAACTAGCACAGGATCATGAGAAATCAGTCCAACAGCTGCTAGTTAATGCAAAGAAGAATAACATAAAAATGATCAGAATCAATGAAAAAACAGGAGAGAGGGCAGACAACATAAAAACTGCTCACAGAAGTAATAGCAGAAAACTTCTCAAACACTGGAAAAAAATCTGACATACAGATAACTGAGGCTTATAGGACTGCAACTAGCTTTGATTTAAAAAATTCTACAAATAAGCATATAGTCATTAAGATTCCAGAAACCCAACAGAAGAACAAAATTTTACAAACAGAGAAAAGAAACAAATCACATACAAAGGAAAGCCTATTAGAATCACAGCAGACTTCTCAACTCAAACCCACAAGGCAAGAAGAGTGTGGAGTGACATATTTCAAGCTCTAATGGAAACAATCTCCAACCCAGATTGATGTACTCTGTAAAACTATATTACAACATTGATGGTGAGAGATACTTTCATGACAAAGAGCATCTTAGGAACTTCATAAATACTAAAGTAGCCCTCCAAAAAAATTTAAATGGTATCCTAGGAAAAGATGAGGATCACAATTCCAGGAAGCCCAGTAGAATGAATCCATCAGGCACAAGAAGAAATTAAACACAAAGGGGGGAGAATCCATAAAAAGAAAAAGTCATGCAAGGGTAAGTCAATACACATCAGTTATAACCATCAATGTTAATCTTTTCAATTCAGCAATTCAAAGAATAGACTGGTAGAATGGTCAAGAGGCAAGATCCAACAATATGCTGTATACAAGAAACACAGTGGTGGCTCACGCCTGTAATCCCAGCACTCAGGAGGTTGAGGCAGGAGGATCACTGTTAGTTCGAGACCAGCGTAGGCTACATAGTGAGTTCCAGGTCAGTCTCAACTACATAGTGAGAGCATGTCTCAAGAAAACAAAACAAAACAAAACAAAACAAAACAAAACAAAAAAGAAACTCAAATAAAAACAAATACTCACAGAATGAAAACAATACTCCATGTGATAAGAACCCCCCCAAAATGAGGAGTAGCTATCCACTTTGAAGATTCAGTAGATTTCAAGTCAACACTGATAAAGAGAGACAAAGAAGGGCACTATATCCTTGTAAAGGAATCCCAGAGCAAAAGATGACAATCAAAAATATATATGCACCAAACACTACTGCACTAAACTGTATAAAACAAATTGTAAGGGAAATGAAAAATTATATAAGCACTAAAACATAGTGGGGGACCTCAGTTCCCCACTGTCACAAGTAAACAGATCAACTAGACAAAAAATAAACAATGAAATGCTAGAATTCAATCAAACTTTTGAATAAATTATCTTAACAGATGTTTATAGTGTTCCACCACTCAAAATAAAAAACATATTATTTTCAGCTATACATGGATTATTATCATAGAACATGTTCAAGTAAGTGGAAAGGAACTGAAGTTATCCCCTGTATATTACCAGACAATATAGCAATGGAGTTGGAGATCAATAGCAAAAGAAACCACAAAACTTTTCTAAATTGAACAACACTCCAGAATAACCAATGAGTCACAGATGATATTAAATAAGAAATCAGACAGTTCCTACAATTAAATGACAATGACAATACAATATATTGGAATCTGTGGGGCACAATGAAAGCAGTCTTATGAGGGAAATTCATAGCAGTGAATACTCATATTAGGAAAACATAGCGAGCTCAATTACTCAACTTAATGCTTAACCTCAAGATTTTAGACAAGGAAGAGAAAGACAAACCCAAAACTCATGCAAAAGAGGAAATTACGAATATCATGGCAGAAATCAATGTAATGGAGATTAGAACAGTACAAAAAGAAACCAATGAAACCAAGAGTTGGTTCTCTGAAAGAATAAACAAAACTGACAAACCCTTACCAACCTTATAAAAAAAGGAATGAAAAGACCCAAATCCATGCAATTAGGAATGAAAAGAGTGAAATTACAATGGACCCAGCAGAAATCCAGCACATCATCATATCTGCTTTGAGAACCTATATACCAATAAGATGGAAATACAGAAGAAATGGCCAGATTCCTAGATGCCTATGAATTACCACAATTGAATGAAATGACCTGAAAATTCTAAATGACCTCATGTAAATCAATGAAATTAAAAATGTAATTAGAAACTTAGCAACTAAAAGAAGTCCAGGTCCTGATAACTTCATATGGCTGAATTCTACAAGACATTTAGAGGGGAATTAATGCCACCACTGTTTAAACTTTTCAATGAAATTGAAAGGGAAGTAATACTCCTGAATTCATTCCTTGAAGCAAGCATCACCTTTATCCCCAAAGTGCAGAAAGACCCAACCAAAAAAGAGAACTAACTATAGGCCAATCTCAATAATTAACATACATACAAGAATCCTTAATAAGATACTGGCAAATAGAATGCAGAAGATCATCAAGAAAATCATACAACATTACCAACTAGGATTCATCCCAGGGATTCAGGGATGGTTCAACATATATAAATCAATAAATGCAATATACTATATCAACAGAGTCAAGGACAAAAACCCTATAACCCTCTCAATTGATGCAGAAAAAGCATTTGACAAAATTCTACAAGTATGTATGATAAAAACCCTACAAAAATTGGAATATATGGTCTCTTTCTAAATCTGATAAAAGCCATCTATGAAAAACCAACAGCAAACATCATACTAAATGCTTAAAAATGGAAATCCTTCAAACTAAAATCATGAACAAGGCAAGGAGGTCCACTATCCCCATTCCTGTTCAATATAGTTTTGGAAACATTAGCCACAGCAACTAGAGAAGAGAAAGAAATAAAAAGAATAAAGATAGGAAATGAAGAACTTAAATTGTCATTATTTGCAGATGACAAGATACTTATATAGAAGACCCCAAGAACTCCACTGAAAGTCTTCTAGACTTAACAATAAAATTCAGCGAAATAGCTGGATAGAAGATCAATTCATAAAAATTAATACCTTCCCTCCACACAAAAAAACAGACTCACTGAAAGAGAAATGGGACAAACAATTCCTTTCACAATAGCATCCAACAAACTGAAACACCTAGGAATCAACCTAATAAAAGAAATCAAAGACCTCTAATCTGAAAAGTACAATACTCTGAAAAAAGAAACTGAAGAGATATCAGAAAATGGATAGATATCCCATGCTCCTGGGCAGGTATAATCAATATAGTGAAAATGGCCCTGCTTCCAAAACTGCTATATAGATTCAATGAAATCCCAATTAAAATCTCAGCAGGATACTTCACAGACCTTGAGAAAACAATCCAAAAATTCATTTGGAACAAGAAGAGACCTAGAATAGCAAAAGCAAATCTAGGCAATAAAGACAAGACAGGGGGTATCACAATCCCCAACTTGTAACTATACTACAAAGGTACTGTGATAAAAACACCATGATACTGTCAAGGAAGCAGACCTGAGGACCAGTAGAACAGATTAGAAGATG